GGTGTTAAAATCCGTGTTACTTTGATTTAGTTACACCAATGAATGGACAGCTCAGATTCCTCAAAACTACTTAGTATTTCATAAAAAAATATCCAATATTAAAATTTACCTTCCCTTAAAACGCTTCTTGCCATGACATCCAGCACTACTAAATTTAGCCGGTATAGCATTTTTCGTACTCGGACGAATTTCCTAACGTAAAAACCGCCAACTAAAATATGGCGAAATATTTCTGTCCCAAATGTTTTGTTCATCCAGCATCCTATTTCAGAGTTTCAATGAAAACCTCCCTATCTCAGAATTCGGTTCAAAGCCGCCCTATCCCAAATGAAAATTTATTGAAAATGTGCTGAGATAGGTCTTTTTTGGACCGTATTTGAAACCGAGATAGGGCGTTCTTCAACCAAACTATGAAACAGGGCGTTTTTGAAAAGTTTTCTGAGATAGGGCATTTTCGAACTGGCGCCGCGATTGATCGATCTTCTACATATGGAAATACAAAAATGTCAAAGCAACATTTTATTTCAAAATACTTACCTACATACATATGCATTTTTGAAATTTTTCCTTGAAGAGCCTAAGCATGGCTATGCTCTGATTAAAATTCTTAGATTTTGTTAACTTCAGTGGCTTCCTGGCAGCATAAGAGCTATTTATTTTATAGGGGAATATCGGCTTAAATCTTTTCAATGGGCAAATTACCTTTACAAAAATACCAAATATGTTTATATTGCAGACAACGGATGGGCCGAAAACTCGATCAGATTTTAGCGGTACGCATATTTAGCCGATGCTACTTAAGCAGATTTTTTAGCTGCATAAAAAAACGTAAATATAAAATTCACTGGTTCCCCTCAAGGTCGTTTTTCCCGGAGACTAATTTTTCATATTTTCGCCGCTTTTAATTTCCCTTGTTACAAATGTACATACATACATGGGCTAAAAAATTCTGGCCAGGATATTTTTAATTAAATAATCAAAAATTATTATTTTTTTAAATTTTGCATTCATATTTTTTTAATGAACAAATTTCATATATACTAATCGAAATCATAGATAAAGCCTAAATAATGTGTTAAACATATGAGAAAAAATTACTATTATTACTTACCTGTTCATACCTGCCAACCCGATAGGTAGGCCAAGAAAATAATAGACAACCCAACGTTTTCACATTCCATAATACTTTCGATTGGTATATAATTTGTTTGAGTGCAAACTTAAAACAAAAAAATAAAAAATTTTAATATTTAATTAAAAATATTTTGTTCAGGATTTTTTCAGCCAACCTACTTGCGAAATATTTATTAACATGTTAAATTTAATACAAAGTAGATTTCATCAATTAAACAGATGGGAGAAGTTCGTGCACTTGTCGGATCTTAGACTGTATGTTGTTTGCTGCTGTGAGACCATATGCTATGCACCAAAGTTTCCATCAAAATATAAAAATAAATTTTGATGGTTATAGGGTGAGCGTATTGCTAATAAATATTAAAAATTGCTAACTAAATATTTATAAAACCGAAAATTTCAAATATTTGCTACCAAGTCGAAAGTGAAAGTGCTCTTGCAACTTGTTGAGCGTCTTAAAGTGTGCCTCAAAAGCAGCATTTCAATCCAAAGAAAATTGAAACGTTTAACAAAAATAAACTCGTTAACAATGAAATGAAGAATACAATGAAATTCATTGCCGCACTCGACGCACGTGCCTTTTCACACGCGAACTAATCAGTAGCTACTAAACAAGCAACTACTGCTATAAAGCCATATGAATATACATATATATATATATATCTTTATACATATGTATGTATAAAACAGAGTTTACAGTAAAAAGGCGAAGAAGGAAAACATAAATAAAGCAAAGAGGATTTGAAAAGGGCAATGTATACAGAAGCAGTAACAAATGTATACGTATATATGTATGTGTATGTTTTTAAGTCGTAATCTTATGTGTTCACTACCCTATGCATACATACAGTGACGGTCAAAAATGGATGAATGGTGTTTCGTTTTTAATATTTACAATGTTTTTCAGGCAAAAATTTTTTTGATATTTTTTTTATAAAAATATGGTTCGTGCTTTAACAAAAACTATATAAATCACACTTTCAAATTTTGTGCAGAAAAAAATCTACAAATTTTTATCTAAATCTCGAGCTTTTAAACTAGAATTTTTAGAAATTTTTTGAGTATGCAGTTAACAAGTTTATAAAATTCTGGTAAAATAAGTGCAAGTTTTCAGCGGCTAAAAAATCGCATTGATTTTTGAATTTTTTTTTTTGTTGACGGCGTTTTGTACTTTTTTTTATATAAACATGAATTTATTGCGGAAATTTATTGCGCAAACGGTCTGCGGGAAAATAAAAAAAAATCAATGCCGGTTTTACTAATTTTCTCTATTTATATGAAAAAAAACCGCAAAAGCCGTCAGCCAAAAAAAAAAAATATTACAAATCAGTGCGATTTTTTAGCGTGATTTATATTGTTTTTGTTAAAGCATGAAACATATTTTTATAAAAAAATATCAAAAAAACTATAGCTTGAAAAGCATTGTAAGTATTAAAAACGAAACACCGTTCCTCCATTTTTGACCGCCACTGTATACGTATATGTATATGGGTATAGGTTCAGGTGTGTTGCCGCGCAAACACAAAAATGTGAACAGTCACAATCATTTCGCTTATCTGGCTCTTAATTAATTAAATTACAAAAAGTTGCCTGCCAGTGAAATGCCCGCAAATGATGAGCAAACGCTGTCGAAACCGAATTTATTTAATTACTCATACGCCCCAACCAACCAACACAATTTACTACTGAATTTATTGTTTTCTTTTACCGCTTTTGTCATTTCGTTTATTTTATTTTTTTCGAATGCCTTCGCTTATCAGCTCATCACGTGTGGGTAAATCATCGATTGTGGCCCGATTTTTGGGTAATCGCTACGAGGAGGCATACACCCCAACCATCGAAGATTTCCACCGAAAACTCTATCGCATACGCAATGAGGTCTATCAGTTGGATATATTGGACACGTCGGGCCATCATCCATTTCCAGCGATGCGGCGTTTATCCTTCATGACAGGTGAGTAGTAAGTAGTTAAAAATAGCACACACATACATATGCATCTATGACAAGTCATAAACAGTAAATTACGAGTAAATCATTTTGTGTTTATTTCTTATTTTGCGCTCATTTCTCTTAATTGAAAGCAAGTCAAAAGTTTACATCAAAATCTAAGCAAAAAATTAAGATCTTTCAAATCAAAAATCATTACAAATCAACTTTACTGTGGTT